GTTGGATTAAACAATGGTACATAAGACCTCCCCACATTCCACTTCACACAAAATACCTTTGATTCACAATAGCGTGAAATAGGATCTCAAAATAAGTCTTGCGGGTAAGGAGGTGAGGGAATTATGAATTACCGAGGAGCCCCTGACCATAATCAGACAACCTGATAAATAACTACTTCGCTCTGCTTTGCATAAATCTTATTCTCCCAGTGTTCCACATTGATTCATTTGAGTTCATGCTTTCCTTAACTTCCTTAAGAACTTCGGAAGTTCTAAGTAGTCTTCCATATTTTAAGTCCCTACCCCTTTCTTTTTTATGTTCAATTTAATTACTTAATACATGTCACCTTTTAATTTAAAAAATTTGATCTCTATACCAATAGTTGCTGAGAAAAGTTAAGGCAGTTAATTTTCAAACCTACCTGTAAACTGAGTCGCGAAACCTACGAAAGGAGGAAAAAATAAGAAGCGGGAATCACTCTGGCTGTAGGAACCGGTGAGGCAATTTGACCATTTCGATTATAGGAACATTTTACGAATACCAATACTATGCTAGTAGTAGCAACAACGATTATGAGTTATAACGAATGGAATCATCATATAACATAAGTTTGACCATTTGAAAGAACTCATGAATCTGCTCCTTAATAACAATAATCTGTCTGTTTCATTCAATTCATCTTATACTTAGTTCATTCGTCCTACCAATGATTATTTCATTTTTGGAGAGATAAAATAAAAAAATTAGAGAATCTGAAAGGGAGCTTCCTGGTCTGGGCCCTGGGATATGCCTCTAATTATACCTGAGTTGAATACATAGTCCCTCTGTGCGGTCGGGTAGAGACGCGAATTTCCGTTGAAAAAAACTCAAGTGAAATCAACACATCCTAGCCGAAGTCTCAATTTTCCCTCTTTGAACCCTTAATGCCTCTCAAAGAAACGTATTTCCTCTAGAAAACGTCGTTCTGGTGAAGACTTTTAATTTCAAACCTACCTGTACGTATAGTTGGTTGATCTATAAAAAAGACGAGAGAGGAAAGATGAGGAAAAAAGTACTCTGACTCTTTCAGATTTTAAGTGTAAGTCTAAACTCTCTGCCACCCTGCCTTCTAATAGTGCGAATACTAGAGAAATCGAGCCGCCCTACTGCCCTTAGAAGAAGAAAACAAAAGTACTACTTTTAAATATTATGTTTGTTTGCATAAATCCCTGTTCTCAGCCGAACAACTCACCCATAAACGCATGGCACGGTGTTGGCACTTTGCAAGCTGCAAAATGACGGGTACAAAACATGTTTCAGAGAAGCAGAATTCATGCACCGACTGATCAGGCAATCTAGCCATCAAGCATAAGTCCACATTGTGAGTTTGATCAAAGCCCCACAATGAAAATTAATTATGAATTAATTAATTTGAACTAATAATGTTTTTGATACTTATGATAATGAAAATAATAACATAATAATAACAAAAGGCAAGGCTTTATAAAGTTCCTTTTACGGATTACGGTCTTGCTATGAGTTTGTTTTGATTGGGCGAAAGCCTTCATATATCTCGCGTGATACTTTGCCTCAAAAGTCAAAAGAAAAAATAAACTAATATTCCAGCAAATGAACTGTTTGTTTCTAGCTTTGTTCCGGTGTTCACCAAACTTACCGAATAGCAAGTAGAAGGGTATCTGAACTGGATATGGTAGAGAGGTAATCTGATTACAAAACAGAAANATAGCGTGCACTATCGGGATTTTGAGCACGCTTACGTATACTGAATTTGATTGCGCGGCTCTGCTAGCTATGTTATAATACGCACACAAAGTCCCCGAAATGGGTTTTTTTCCTTTATCATCATTATTATTTTTGTTTTCCCAATATACGTTGTATACACTACATACACTTGATTTAAACGACCTCACCTTGTCCAATTCTTGACACAGGCCATGCACACGACGACTCGAGGGATCTAAAATAGCGTATATTATTCCGTATCCAGTCCAATTATCCAGTTTAACTGGAAGAAACAGATATATCAAGTATATCAGGAACCTTCTATATTTCTTACCACTAATTTTATCATTATTTTCGCTCATAGTTTTTTTTATGTTTATCAGGTGTGCAATGATGTATAGCGGGCCCATAAATTTTTTCTTCAAAGCAAACGAATTGACAGTTGTTCGCTTCTCCACGGTTATATGTTTAGATTCCAAATCAATTTGAAAAAATCTTTACGTGAAGATGTCTCTAGCTGAATAAATAATAGTGAAATTCTACTTACTATCAAAAGGTTTCCATGACAGCGTTGCTGTATACCTCCCCGTGCTGTTAAGCTCTTCATATGTCACCTTAACATCATTGGTAGTGAAAGACTTTTTAACTCTTGGCTTGTTCCTCAAGCATTTTTTTAACCATTCTGATATCAATAACGAAATTCGTTGCTTAATTTCAAAAATTAAAAAGATACCCCGTCTGACATATACTTCTCATTTGATAAGAAACAAATCGACAAGTAAAGTATGAAATTAGAGAGATCATCTGCAAAAAACTAACTAGGGCACTAACAGATATTCCTTTGATTTCTGAGAATCACCCCCAGAGAAGACCTAAAAAGGCCCTCGAGATGGGAATTATTGACGCAACCAGTTTGTCTTTGTCTTTATCTAGTTAAGAACGGTCGCCACTCGAATCAGATGTTAAATTTGCTAAGAATGCCATTAAGCCTATCAATGCGCATTTTTCTCTCTTTTTTCTTTTTTTTTTTTTTTTTCTCTGACGCC